CAACAGATGACGTCTCTTAGCTCAAGTCTCTTCTTTTTATACAAAAGCAAACAACAGCAAATGTAGTAATAACATCTTTTCCAGTACAGGAGGTATGGCAACAATGATAATACTATGTCTCAGTGACCATTCATCTCCATCAGCAAAATTTAGCTGGAAATCTAAGGGATAATGTGACAATTTTTATATCCCAGCAAGGCAGATGAGAAAGCTGAACATCTTTACATATATCCAAGTTACTCTACATGATCACATGGAATCTTGACAAGCCAACCGTTATGAAATTCAGTCAGAAAACAGAAAATTATTCAACATAATCTGAAAGAGTTTGTCTTTGAAGGGTGACACTCATTTCTGCTGCATTACACAAAGAACCTTGCTTGGGGGGCAAAGACTGAAGAATTTTTTGGTGTTTTTTTCTGTTTATTTTTGGGTTTTGGTTTGTGGCAATTTTTTATGCAGCTGTCAAACCAATTACACAGACAATAAAGCCATTTGAATATTTTTATTTCTCATTGTCAACATGAAAATCTGTAAAATTGAATGGAATCCAATTCATCCACATTGGGGAAATCTGATTTTTGATTATCCAGTGCTGAAATATTTTGGTAGCTTTTAGTCATTAGTTTGCCATTTAGGACACTAAAGTATTTTGGTTTTTAGGTACACACTGATAAAAGCCAAGGAGATGGAAAATTAGATTCTAAGTGGTATTAGTATCGGGGCTTTTTCTCATATCAGACGGCCCAGGAAGGGGGGAAGTGTTAAAGAGATCTTTTCTCTACCTGAGAGGACCAGAATCTGTATTATCCTCCTTCTTGAACAGTATGGCTACAGCACAGTCAGCATAGATGACCCTGGGCAGATCCTCTGTAGGTGGGGAAGCTTCCACTTTGCATTAAAGCACCACACTGAGCCCACATGTTTCATGTCTTTTCCAGCCCCCAACCACCATATTGTCTCTACGTGTCTCTTTTTCTCGTGATAGACAGTATCAGTTACAGCACAGAGAAAGCCTCAGTCACAGCGTAGTAGGGAACAGTGAGGGGATAGTGCCATGCTTGAGTAACGCTTGTTCAAAACTTCTCAAGAAGCTGGAGAGCAGCATACTTCTTCCTTTCTCATCTGGATGACCTTCCCACATGAAGCCTTTTCTCCCAGCTAATTTGGTCTCAAGTAGAATCAGCAACCATTTGAGGACTTTCTCTAAGAATAGACACTTCAAATGCTCAACTTTAAGCAAAACCTAATTTTCTTTCTTTTTTTTTTTTTTTTAGTATATATAAAAATTATTTTATATATGCCATTTAGCACCAAGAGAGGGAGAACTTGATAATACAATTTTTGGCAGAAGTAGATAAAAAATGCCATCAGAAGACATGGGAGTTTTATGTGTGATTGCTGCTCCTAGACCCTGATGAATCCTGTGAGAGGCCCTTGGACTGGGCCCACTGATCATTCTGTGGGAACACTACCCCTCTTTTTCCCGACAAGAACAATGCAGCGGAAAATCTGCTAAGACTTTGCCATGGAATTTCCATCCCCACTGAAGGATTTTCCAATACAGGATTAATGTGGACAGTTAATGGCTTCTCAGCTGAGCTTTAACTTAGGTTCAAAAGAATAGGAATGCTCTCTTGGGTGGAATAGCAGGCTACTGGAGGATATGAAATATTTCCTCAGTGGAGGCATTTACCAAAGCCTCTGTAGGACTTCCATGAATCTGTGAAAGCCAAGCCTTTTGAATATTCTCATGTTAATTTATATAGATGTTTTAAAAAAGGAGTCATGGAATCCCATACCTCATATACATTAATTTTCCATCCAGCAGAATAACTTTGGCCATCTTGCACTTCAATGAAAACCTCCTCTGTAAGTTGAGTGTTACTGAATAATGGAAAGTTTCATTTCCAAAATATAATAAAATTGCAGGAATAGTGAAGGAAGTGAACATTACTCGCACTTATGGTACACTCATTTATGACTTTATGAATATGAATTTGTGGTTTCCTTTTATGCTGTTGTTTTGTATAAATGAAATCTACCACAGCATTTAAAACTGGTTTAAAATGTTTCTTTTGTTTCTGCTTTTGAGACTTTTACAAAATAATTATGTTTTAATGTTAGTATTATAAATGTTTATGCATGGGCCTAGTCCAATTACCTCTTAACTTGGTGGAAAGATCCCTTTGAGGTTGATGGGAGCAGGATCAAGTGAATACATTAGTATGCAAAATTATTAATGATCCATAAATTAACAAAGATATTCCTGTCATCTGATTTTCCAATGTAGATATATTACCTAAATCAAGTAGTTCCATAAACAGTGGTATTAATGAAGCCTTATTTTTATATTATTTTTTTCTGAGGGTGAATTTCCATGTGGATTCTCCTATGCCTAACCATGACTGCACTCACACTGCAGCCTTTGCTGCCAGGACAGCAATGTCTGTATCCCCTCGACCTTTGCGGCCAGTTATTTTCATGAGACTTGTAGGAAATGTATACAGAAGAGTCTTTCAGCTCCCTGTTGAATTTGGGCAGAAGTAGCTAACAGATTTTCCAGGGTCTGGCAGATAGGCAACACGAAAGCTTACAAATGCTATAGCTGCAAGTCATATTCCTGGGGAAACTGGATTAAAAGTAAAGGAATGCACACACTGGACTTTGTATCATCAGACTTTGATAATATGCTAAAGGAATGGTTAATAAGAAACCACAAATGCAGACTTAAAAGGAACAAGAAGTAATCTAAGTTTTAATAAGCAACACAGGAAGCCTGGTTATCCCCGTAAGCACAGCTCAGCATTACACAACCTCATGACTTCCCAGGGGAGGCATCTTGTTCCACTGAGACCCCAATGCCTCCCGGAGCTTCCCAGCATACAGTTGGTATTTGAAATATTTATGGTACTGCTACATGCCTTTGGGAGCAGTTGACTCCACCAAGAATGAAGACTTTCTTTATAAGCCAGAACAGGATAGGAACAGATCTTGGCTTGGTTCCCTCTGCCCTTTGGTAAGCAAAATAGGAAATTATTTTACTTAGTTTCTTGGGAATGCACTCTTAAGAATGAGGAAAGAGTCCTTAAACCAGCTAGAAGAGGGAAATGAAGAATTCATAGTGTCAGATCTTATAGTCTTTTTAAATTCTTCTTCATTCTTTCCATCCTTCTAGTCTCCATTTTCAAAAAGACTGATGGAGAAGTAATAGGATGTGTACTGACCATTGGAATTGACCTTGCTTTAGTTATTCTTGGAGGAAGTTGATCCTTACATTCTTTAAATGAATTGATTAATAATCCATAATTGAGAATATATTACAACATTCCATAAATGTAAAAGCCTTAATTCCAACACATTTCTCATTATGGAGTAGATATTTTTATGCTGCCTTCCTGGGGTCCAGATACAGGATATTAGCAGGAGGCTCCCTGAACTAATTCAGCCCTCTGATTATTCCCCGCTGCTGGTTGTCCACATTGGCAGTGATGAGGTTGATACAAAAAATACCAGGATAATTAAAACGGGTTTCAAGGCTTTGGGTCGATTGGTTGATAGGACAGGAGCACAGGTGGCATTCTGCTCACTTCCTTAAGTATCAAGGATGGATGATCAAAGGAACAGGAAAACCCATGTTATCAATAAATGTCTAAAGGGCTGGTGCCCATCAGCACAATTTTGAGAGCAGAATAGACCCCTGTAATCCAGGAGGAAGCAAATAGTGATCTTCTGAGCCATTTGGAGGCTCACAAGTCTATGGGCCCAGGTGGGATCCATCCCAGGGTGATGAGGGAGGTGGCAGATGAGCTTGCCAAGCTGCTGTCCATAATTTATCATTGGTCCTGGCTCACTGTGGAGGCCCCAGATGACTGGAAGCTGCCCAGTGTGATGCCCATCCATAAGGAAGGCTGAAAGGGGGATCTGGGAAACTACAGGCCTGTCAGCCTTACCTGGGTGCCTGGCAAGGTTATGGAATTGATCATCTTGAGTGCCACCACACGGCACCTACAGGATGGCTGGAGGATCAGACCAGCACGAGTTAGGAGTGGCAGGTTGTGCTTGACCATCCTGCTCTCGTTTTATGATCAGGTGACCCACCTAGGTGGATGCAGGAAAGGCTGTGGATGTTGTCTACCTGGACAATTGGCAGCCCATGGCTGGGACAGGTGTACTGTTTGCTGGGTTAAGAACTGGCTGATGGCTGGGCCCAGAGATGGATGGGGATTGGTGCTGCATCATCCAGCTGGTGTCTGGTCACTAGTGGTGTACCCCAGGGACTGGGCCCAGTCCTGTTTAATATCTTTATTGATGATCAGATGAGGGGATTGACTTCACAATTAGCAAGTTTGCAGATGACACCAAGCTGGGTGCAAGTGTTGATCTGCTGGAGTGTAGGAGGGCTCTGCAGAGGGACCTGGACAGACTGGATAGATGGGCTGAATCCAACAATATGAGGTTTAACAATACTATGTGCCAGGTCTTGCAGTTTTTCCCTAACAACACTACAACACAATGGGTTGGGGACAGAGTAGCTGGGCAGCAGCCAGGCAGAAAGGGACCTGAGGGTACTGATTGACAGCAGGATGAACGTGAGCCAGCAGTGTGCTCAGGTGGCCAGGAAGGCCAATGCCATCCTGACCTGTATCAGCAATAGTGTAGCCAGCAGAACCAGGGAAGCAGTTCTTCCCCTGCACTCAGCACTAGTTAGGCCATAACTGGAGTCCTGTGTGCAGTTCTGACCCCTCAGTTTAGGAAGGATGTTGACATGCTGAAGTATGTCCGGAGAAGAGCAATGGAGCTCGGGAACGGTCTGGAACACAAGTTCTGTAAGGAGGGAGCTGGGGGGGTTTACCCAGTAGGTTCAGGGGAGATCTCATCACTCTCTACAACTCCCTGAAAGGAGGGTGTAGCCAGGTGGGGGTTGGTCTCTTCTTCCAGGCAACCAGGGACAGGACAAGAGGACACAGTCTTAACCTGTGCCAGAGGAGCTTTAGGTTGGGTATTAAGGAGAACTTCACAGGAGTGACTGGGCATTGAAATGGGCTGTCCAGGTGGGTGGAACAGAGGATTCAAATTTATTCTTTGTTCCAAGCAGATTTTTAATTTTAACTTAAAATTAAGAGAAAAATAATGAATGAAAGTTAAAGAAGTGTCTCTGCAAATGTTTAGTCATCTCCTTGCAAATCACTATTTACTAGAACTCTACCACTGCCATCAAGATTACTTTTAGAGACAGAAAAAATAGTCCTGAAATAAGACAGATGAATGTGCCAATCTAAGGAACATCCAGACAGAATTGTCTAAATTACAAAACCTTTGAGGATATAATTTCTATATCCTCAGTAGAGTTTGTTAAAAATGTACTGATAAAGGTCTCAAAACTTCTCATTTGCACTTCCTGACACTTCAAGTGGGTGTTATTAATTTTGTGCACATAATGTGTTGTGTAATTTGGCTAATTTATATGCCTAATTTACACCATATTCCTCTTTGCCATTTAGAGTTTGAGATAGGTGGTGAATGAAGCAAAAGAGACAGAAAGAAGAAAGAAATTTTTTCTTTTACTTAGTTTTATCAAAGCAAGATCTGCAAAAGCTTTACTTTGCCAGGAACTTTTGTGTACTGCAGAACAAGACTGTTACAGTGCATATGTTCAAGTAGAGCAAATCAAAGTTCTTTAATTCATTACATTTTATAATTATAATTTTCCTACTTTAGTGTACTTTTAAGACAATTTTAATTTGAAATTGCTTTAAAAATCTACTACTTCAGTTAACATAATTTACCTGTGACATACATGAAAAGATTAATCCATTGTTGTTCTTTAAAAGATGTTAGAACTTACAGTGCTCTAGGGAATGATTTGTATCCTACTGGATGCTCAAGAGGGTCATTCTTCAAAGTTCTAAGTGTGTCAGTATTTTTCTTGCAAATGTTTTTCTGGTCATAAAATGTAACATGGAGAAAGTTATATCCTGAATAGGTGGTTTATTGTTCATTTAGCTGTGTATCATCTTATGAAATCGTTGCCATATTTTTGTGACAGTGTATCCATCCTGTTGCAGACTTCCTCCCAAAAGATTTTTTGTGGGGGTTTTCCACAAGACGAATGTTTAAAAAGTTTGAAATCAATACCTCATGCTTTGCCATGTAGGTGGTATCCAAAAATCTCTTCCAAATATAGCTATGTGTTTTGCAGCACCTGTTTCACAAGTTCTTGGCGCCTGCTCCCTTTATGGGTGAGTATTAGCATTTACTCCAGTAGATAAAACATCTGGTCCAGTTTTTGTTGGTAGTCCCACACAACATCAACAGCTGTACTACTAGAAGAAAAAAAACAACAGATGAGGATGACACACTGGCTGACAGGTCCTTCTTGTCTTAATCCTTTGGCTATTTCTATTAGACTTTGGAATTTACTACTCTGGGTAAAGTGGGGAGGATGCAAAAGCTATACTTCCCTGTGCAATTCTAGTAAAAACAACAGGATACAGAGAAAGGATTTGCACAGCATTGCTTTCAAAGATACCTTATGCAATCCTCAGCAATTTTTTTTTCTTTTTCTGCACCATATCATGCAGCTGACTTGGGAAAGGGCAAGGGCAGCTGGTGAACCTATACAGTCTACCTGTGCCTCCCTGGAGGTCAGAGCAGCTCAGGTCTGCACTGGGGAGTGCTTCATTTGCTGTGGCCTTGTGAGGCTGTGAAAGATCTATCCTTAGCCACTGACAGTATTCTGAGCAGCAGCATTTGAGGCTTAGCAAGCAAGCATTTTAATGGAGCACTGCAACACTGCACACATGAATGTTTGTGTTGTCTATTGTGACAGCTTACGAGATCAGAAGAGTTTATGTGTAAATTCTTAGTTAGAAGTCTTCTCTTCTGCTTACAAAATACCCACAAGTGCAATGGTGGCTACAAATGAGGCTTCCTGATTTTTTTACTACAGTATTTCACAATAAGTGTATATTACGTCCCTGGGAAAACTCTGATTTATGAGACCTTTGAGGTTTAAGTTTTAAGATTCTTTTAGCTTACCAGAACAGAATATAAATTTTTAGCATATTTGAGAAACAGGGACAGGAATTTAAACTTTGCTGATACATACTTGATCATCATTGAACAGACTGATAGTCTTTATTATTTAAAGGAAAATTGCTCTAACAATTACCAGTGACCCTGCATTTGTCTCCTATTGTTTCAATTAAAAATAAATATAAGGACTGTAGTATTTTCATTAAATATTTTAAAGTACTTTACAGAAGAGATCAAGACAATAATAATAGAGAAACTGAGGAAGAGCAAGAAACAAAGGAAAAGAAGAATATAACCCCCCAATATTTTTCTCAGTGTTGCCAGGTAGGTAACTGAAGAAGTCTATGCTCCCACCATGGGACATGAAGGGACAAAAAGGCAGATACCTGTGTTGATCTTACATTACAGCCCAGTGCAAAGCTAAAAACTGGACAACCTTAGCTTCTCCTTTGGAGGAGGGAAGCAACACAGTCTATCTCTTTCTTCCCCTTTCATGTCAGGATGAAAACCGGGGAAAAGTGCTCTGTACCCATTTTTAAAGGCATAGTCAAGACCTTAGCATATGGTCTAAAATGAAAATACTTTGCTGAACTTAACATTAGCTTCTCAGGTAAAGTCACTTTACTACTTTTTCTACACCTTAAAAAAAAAAAAAAAGGAAACAAATTCTTAATGTTCAATGTACTGCCATTATTTACTATTAAGATTCCTATATGCTTGAACTGGTGGTAATTTTTTTCCAGTATTATGAATCTTCATTTGGCACAAGTTGACTGTATTCAATATATCCTAATTTGTTCTAGGTTATCATTGCCTCTGCAGTGGAACTTTAGCACTGATTCTGAAAAAAATGAGGAGTGCAAAGGCAACTGTTTGCAAGACAGAGCTAGATAGTTTTATCAGAGTAAGAAGTTCAGTATTTCACCCTCTGAGTAGATTTTATTTTTAAGGCGGTTTCCCAGAAGCCACACAGAAAAGGGAAACAAAGCTAAAATTGGGACAAGGTCAGCTGGATATAGACGTGACTGTAACAAACCTCAAATAGTTCTGTTATTTTTGTTTCAGCTAAAGTTCAGAGAATTTTTATTAGGAATCTAACCTAGATATTTACACAGGAATTGGAAAGAACAACTTTCTAATGGCTGCCCAGCAGGGAGGTTATATTCATAACTGGTGTTAACTTCATACTCGATGCTGACACATATCAGTTTAAACATTCAAATATTGGGAAGCTTCCCTATACTAAGGGTATAACATATTAGAAAGTAAAAGACTGGAGAAATACTTTGAGCCAATTTTTAATTACTCCTTTCTTGGAAATATGTATATATATACATATACATATATATGTGTGTGTAAATATATACAAATGTGTGTGTGTATATATATATAAATATATATATATTTATGTATATATATATTGTATATATAAATATATACAATATACTAATGTAAACACATGTATTTTATCAGAATAATCAGATGATTATTTTTCATTTTAAGGGCTTCACAATCCATGTGAGTAAGAATGTCAGTTCTTACTTAAACAAGATACAAATGCAGATAGTGCATATTTTCCAAGCATAAATTCATTATTTCAAATCAATTGTTAGGGCTAGTTTTTCTCAATTAAAGAAAGACATGCTTTTTACTTTAGACACTCCTCTTCTAAAAGGAACTTACTCTATCACAGATGGAGCAAATACTTACATGTTTATGGTGTCTTCATGGGACTTCACCCTGCTGCCCTCCACCCCCCCTCGCAAAACTGCTCCAAAACATTAGGTATCAGATAACATAAGTCACAGAGGTACTCAGAATTTCCTCTGTTGCTAAGAATAGACATTACTGTTAGAGGTTTCTCTGAGAAGGTATCTGCAAATTAGAGTTAATTTTCTGTCCAAACTAAAATAGCTTAAATTTATTTGTTCTCCTAGAAGGCATGTTACTTTAAATTGAGAAACGCTGAATATCCCAAGTTGCTGTTTACTTGGAAGTTTTAGATCTGGGAAGATTTAATTTAGATGATTTCTACATTTTGTTGCTGATGTGCATATACAAAGAATATTCTGTCATTTTGACTTTCATTTTCGTGATGATTTTATTGTTTATTTTTCAGTGTTGAAGCATACAGATATTATCTTTTTTATGTGCATTTAAGTAAATACTAAGCCAACCTATAAAATACATAAACAGCACACTGGGAACATAGGTATACTCTGTATGCTTGTAGTGAAGGCTGCTGTCCATTCTTCTGAAAGACGACACTTGACAATTCGTGCGACATGGAAAATACAGAGGTTTTAAATAGGGATACAGCTAAAATGCAAAACTCAGCCAAGGGCAACAATATCCCTTGCAAACTGTTTTTAACAGTTGCAAACTGCCAAATCCTTTAACAACAGAATTAAGTCTAACTGACAGCTGAAGAAAAGCACACCTGATACTTAAGAGATAAACATGTATAATTTTCAGTGTCAAAAAAAAGGGAGGCTAGATCTAACCTTCAGCCTGGATTCAGAATGTCATGATACAGAGGGAAATGCAGTTTCTTTTCACTCTATCTTGGTCATTATCATACGGGCTAAGCCGCAAGCTGTCTCTAAATCTTTCTTAAAAATGGGATCAAGAAGGCAATTTAAAGGCATCTAACTGCAAATATACCACAGTAATGGCATCTAGCTGCAGATATACCACAGGAGTCTTCATACCTTGTGACTAATCCTAAGGACCCTGTAAAGACAGGCCACATAGAAAGCATCTCAGTGGGACTACTCTCATTCTTAAAACCACGAATGTGTTAAATTTGTTCACAAATTTTGGTTCTTATTGTATAATTAGTGAAAGTTCTTGATTCTCATTGCATAAAATCACAGTAATGCACAAAGATGGGGACTAAAAGATGAGCTACTTTTTTTTCCATTTTACAGTGTATAAACTAGGTGCAAGAAGATGGAGAGTCCTTGTCCAGGCTGGGCGGGGAAATCTTGGCCAAGCCCTGAACTCTTAAGTTTAATCTGGGTACATTTATCTGACAGCTGTAATTTTAGTTTCAATAAAAAAAAGCTATTCATTTACTAATTTGATGTAATGACATTTGATTGAAGGAGTAATTTCAAGTAATTCAAGTAATTTGAAAAGAGATTTTTTTCTGCTGTCCACCTTAAAAGACCACCAGTAAATTAAACAATTAGAACTGGTTACAAAGGTAAGCTAAAATCTAAACATAATAAGACACTGTTTTCAGCATTTCAAAAGAACTAAATACAACACATCAGCAGCTTCAAAATCCTTTTGAATAAGTGCACTCAGAAACAACTAACTAGCAAACAAAGCTTTTATGAAGACAGTGTGGTCAGTGAACTTTTGGCATGTCAATTCTATATAATGTAGGCCTCTAGAAATATTCCTCACATTTGAGTAAATAGAAAAGAGCCAAATTTAGCAACAGATGCTCTGAATGGTGCATGATGATTTGTTGCTTTTTACAAAGTTTGACAGGCAAGAATTTCTGTAAAAAGAAAAGCATACTCCTTACCTATTGTTAAAAGGATGTAATTTTTCTTACATTTTGAAGGATTGAGAATAATAAAGTGATCAGAATCTCAGAGACCAGTGGGATGATTTTATCAGAATACTTTACGTGAAGTTCTGTTCTTTTCAAGTAATACAAGTACTGATTAAACAACATCCCATATCATGGGATAGCTGTTCTATATCCTAGAATTTATCATAATTTCTAGGCAATAAAGCTAATTCAACTGATAGATAGAACATCTTAGTCTAACAGAGTGGGTCAGGTAGTACAGAATCACAGAACATTCTGAGTTGGAAGGTACACACAAGCATTGTTGAAGTCCAGCTGCTGGCCCTGAACAGGAAAGGCCCAAGAATGACATCATGAGCAACACATAAAAAATAATGTCCTTTGAAAATAAAAAACCTTAGGTTTGGATTTTTTTTTTTTTAGCTATTGATTTCATGTAAATATGCACATGAAGATTTATAGAAGGAAAAAGTGCTTCAACCTCCAGAATAACAAAAGTGATAAGAAATCAGTAGGTAACTGTATATCATTGTCTTTGGTGAATGTCAAAGCAGAATCAGCATAGCTTCAGCAAACATAGTTTTGGGGTGTTTCCCTTCCCAAGTCTTTCAGAAGGGCTATTTTACACCTCCAATAGGAAATCTTCATTCTTAATGTACAATTGTGAAAATGCCAAATAAGAACATCAATTATTAAAAAGGATAAGGGCATCAAGGTGGATTGATTCTACTAATATGATGAAAAAATGCTTTGCAAACATAATCTAATAAAAAATTGCACTAAAAAAGTTGATTTTCTAGGTTTTGATTCAAGAAAGTGATTAAGCACATGCTTAAAGTTTACTTTCCTGAACTGGAGGCCTTTAACAATTAATATGGACCTCTGAAAATGGGATACAGCACAATCTGAAATATGCTGGGCTCACAGATAAAACAGGGCAGAAGTGACAATCGGATGTCTAACAGTGTCTCTTGTACCACCAGAACCACTAAAAGAATCACAACAGCAAAAGCAAAAGCTAGAGATGCATCTGTGCCTGGCTTCAGCACACAACAAAAACAATCCTGCCTTTTTGGTTTGCTCTTTATTAGTTCTCATTCTGCTCAGAATTCACAACAAAGTTGCTTGTACCATCTGAATATATCAATTGTTTTAATAAATTTTGTTGTAAGTTGGAATTGTTTCATCACTTTTTGTTTTTTCTTCTTTCATAATTGCATACTTTAGAGTTACATAATCTGTTTGATTTCTGAACATCTTTTTTGTAGATGTTGCACGGAGTCTTAAAATAGGAAAGATATTGTGTAGGCTGGTGTCATTAGAACATTGTTCAGCATATTGTTTCATTAAGAATGGATATGTTGCAAACTTTTCATGGCAATTATTACAATAGAAGCCTTTGTTTACTTTTCTTAAGTTTTTTCCCTGCTTGGTTACCTATTATTAAATAAATTTTTATGATGTCATGGTTCTCACGAAATCTCCATAGAGTCAAGATATATTTATATGAAAAATATATATTTATATAAAAAATAACATGTTGATATAAAATCAAAGTGCAAACTCTGGGCAGCATAACTCAGATCCGAATAGTTAAAAATAGAATTGTAGCAGTAAATGAGAGGCAAAAAGGAGAGGGAAAGGAATCAAGATTAGACAGCAAATCAAAGCTGACAAAATATGTTTAAAAGGAAAATGCTGTTCCTCACTGGCATCTGTGGATATAACTAAAATCAACTCTGTGTCATTTTGATAGACATAAACATTTAATTCAAATGGCAAATATATTTTTTTTTTCTTGAGAGTTACCCAAAACAAATAAGAGTGCCCTCTCCAAATTATCTACAATTAGAATGCATTCAATGCATTTTTAAATTCAATTATAATTTGCTCAAGTATAATTATTAGACATTTAAACTATGAACTGGTATGCTTAATTGGGTAATCATGGTAAGTCACACATTATTCATGTTACTTAATAGGATGAGCATGCAAGCAGGTACTTACTAAAATAATGAATAGTCTAAAATCTACTTCTATGAGCTCAAGCCTGCAGTTTTTAAGTTCAGCAAACATGAATGTCCCAAATTTAATTGCTAAATATTCCCAAAAATATGTGATGGGGCATATTTAGTATTTATTTAGTTTTTTTTAACATGGTTGATTGAATAATTGTTGAGTTTTTGCAACAATATCCTGATATGCTTTTTTTTTTTTGGTTCATTTGTTTTTCTCTCTTGTTTTTTGCCTGATCACTGTACTAGGCACAAGCTCAAAGCTATTTATGGGTAAAAACACCAATGATGAAACAAAAGCCAGAATACAGAAGATATGAAGAACTTATTAAATATTTTATGATACTTTGAAAAAATAGAAAGCAAATTCAATCATTCAGACTAAGATGCTGTATTTTGCTAAATATGCAAATACAGTAAGGATAAACGAATTAGTCAAAAGTGAAAATTTGCTACAGCCTTTGAATCCCCAACAATCAGACTTATGTAATTAATGTAATATAAGTATGCATTTCTGTGGAATGTAAGGATTGAAATTAATGAAAAATGTGGAAGAAAATGTGGAATAAAATTGATGGAAAATAAAATTTCCGTGAAAAATGGTCATTTATGGAATATGTCTTTTTTCATTGGTCTTTCATATAGCATATTTGTTTTCCTTTTCTGTAAAGCCGTTGAAGAGAGAAGAGAAATGTATAAAGCCTAGGTATTCCTAACAATCATTCAGAGCATCTAAACTTGACACAAGCTTTGACTTTGACATTGCTATTTTAAAGTCGATCTAATACTGTTACCCTGGAAAAGAGCAGTCCTGTCTTTTCCCTCTCCATCCCACCCAGAACTGATCATTTCTGCCCACTCCCTTGCAGCAGCTACAGTGACTTGATCAGTCTCAGGGAGATCAGGTCAATACACTCATGTTGTTTAAAACTCATGATATTCTTCCAGGGTTAACTTTAAATCAATTTACCTTGGTAGTAGAAAAGAAGCAGCAGAAATGTGGTGAAAGCTGGACCATGCATCTCAGCATCAGGCAGTTTTTAGGTCAGCTTACATTCATCATGAAACTGATCTTCAACAAGATGTCTAAAAAGTATGACATGAACTGGCTTTGGTTTCCTCACTGCAATAAAAAATGCTGATGATATGAGATTTCTCAGCCAACTCTGACTGAGGCTTTTATTCATTTTTCTTGCTTGTTTAATGACAGGGGACATAGAGAACATTTTTTACTGTAGTTTCTGCTATACCTGTTGAACACAGGTTCCAGAATCATCTTTACCTTCTCTTACTTCCTCAGCTCTAGTCCCTGTTTTCAATCACTCACTTTACCATGGTGCTGCTCTTTATATCAGTGATACATATTACTGTCAAGACTTATATTGATACATACATATTCCTATTAATATCAGAACTCATAGTTCAATGCTTAATAGCAAAAGAGATTCTGCTTACAATGCCCCCAACAAAACCTCTTCAAACCTTCTCATATTCAGGCTCAGAGTTAATGCTTCATCCTTACCCAGAATGTCTTTACTAGACAGCAAGTAGTCCCACTTTCTTCAACATCACACATGCTTCTGATATCACTCAGGCTTCCCTACAACTGTGCTGTAGTGCTGTGCTTAAACCCACAAATGTTTCCATTATAGCATCTCTGAATATGCCATTTCTTTTTACCCTATGAGACACCTTCTACATCTCAAAACTATTTTTGTTTTTAACATTTACTAATATTTACTTCTTCGTTTTTCCCCTCTAAGGTTGACAAAAGGAAGGAGATTCATTGACAATTCTGCTGCAAAGGCTGGTTTTCTCTTTCTTGTCTTTGACAGACTCATCTGCTCTGTGCATCAACATGTGGCCTCCCTGCTCTTCAACCGTACAGAGCAGTTTCCTGCTCTTCCCACTCAGGCTTCCTCCCGTATCATTTCTCCCACTCATCTCTTTAGATCAGGTTTAAAATCTTGCTTCTGCTTCCTGTCACGTTAAGATCCTAGCATCTATCATCCACCTGTTAACGTTTTGGATATGCCTTTTCGAGCTTGCTTTTCACATAGTGAGAAGGCCATGGGTTGTCCCTGTGAACCTGTGCAAAGTTAGCATGTCATCTGCCTGTAAACATTTCCTTAATAGTCTCCTGGGCAACATTTTCTGCAAATCTCTTGAAAGCAGCCAGATTCTGTCAAAGGCTGTCAAACCATCATGTTGATTTAACTGGCTTTACTGTTTCTTGAACTTCCCTGTTTTAACCCCTGCACTACAAGGGACTTGCTGTATGTACCCTTAAGTTGAAAAGCTTTGGAGAATGGATTATTTTTTCTGCTTTTTCCTATGGTACAGCACTTACTACAGAGAAATCTCAGCTATGACAGAGGTGGCTGCTACGGTAAAAAAAAATAAATCCATTATTATAATAGATTAACAATTATTAATTTGAGCATATAAAAATAACATACCATAACCAAACTCTAAGTCTTTTGGTACTGCTCTAGTATTACATTTGTGACCAGACAAATGTTAGTGTTTTACCAAATCAAAAATTGCTTTATCTATTCAAAAATCCCTTCACTCTTTCAATTAAAATATTATAACAGCACAAAAACATTGATAGAGTTTCTGTACTTGAAAATTGCAAAGGATGGGGAATACACTTTGGGATAAAAGTCACTGGATGGCACACAAAGAAGTGGCTTTCTTTCACTGCTTTGGGTACAGCCCTTAGTCAAAGAAACGGCCATGAATGGCTATGGAAGTGGCTGCTGGTATTATTATGGTAGGAATTCTAATAATGTTTTATATTTATACAAAGGAGAGATCACATTTTCTAATTATCTAAGAACAAAAAAGTAACTAATTGCAGATTTTAAGTGTATGTCTGAATAGAGAAGAAACACTGTTTTTCCAGATTGGATTCTTGTTTTCTTATTGCACCTCACCCTAAACATGTTCCTTAAGTTGTGTATCCCTCTGTGTGCCTACAGGCTGATGTTTGGCACAGAAGCCCCATTATTCAACACCCACCTCCTAGGATAATCCAGAAGCAGCAGCAGCAATCTAACAGGATGTTCCTTCATCAGTGATGCCATCAGAAAGAGCTGCTGTGTGACCTCAACATTCAAGAAAAATGTCTCTATGCATAAAGTAAATGATTAAATAATTTGTGTTTACCCTACTAGAGTTCTAGTGCTTGCCCAGTTCAGGTAAGAAATGGTGACAGCTCTTCACAGAAAGCAAACAAGGTCTCGGTAAGATGTAGACATTCCTTATTTTCATTAGCCTCATTTTAGCAGATCAAAAGGTCCTGAGTATAGAGAGGAGATGAGCTGGATCTATTACTACATGTGTATTATTCATAGGGTTAGACCTGATTATGCCTTCTGGCATCAAAATCTAGTAGTAATCCATGAGGACAGCCCTCATCCAGAGTAATCTAACCTTTTAAGGGCCTTCTGTTTTTCGTGTCCTTTCAGTTCCTGTGGATGAAGACGTATTGCTCCAGGGAAACCACTCTGAGCTCCCTCAGGCCTCCAGTCGCTTTGTGCTGGGGAGGTCAGGGATGGCCTATGACAGCTTGGTGATGAACTGCTCAACATTTAGGACTTTATATATTGAAGGGAAGCATGAAGGAATGATTTAACAGATGTATTTGTGCCTGCAGAAATTTATGGGCATGTGGATATTCTGTGCCAGGACTTTTGAGCTGCTGGCAAATATCCTTGCCAAAAGTCATGGAGCTCAGATTTACACAGAGTATATTTGTCATTAGGGTTGGTATTCATCAAATGTAACCTTGGTATCTTGTATTACTAAATGTTTCAATGCGAGTTGTTTTAATTTTTTCCAGAGATAACCCTGGAATTATCTTTAGAGCACTCAACATTCAATCCCCCTCTCTGGATTTGCCTTTGCTTAACTCGCAGCTCTCTGTGTTGAGTGTGATTGGTGACATTTCCAAAGAAAGGCATCATGATGGAAAGTTGCCTCACTGTCAGTGTCCATACTGTTACAGTTTGGAGGCGATGGATTTTTTTTTACCTTCTGAAATACCATAAAAGCTTTGGCTTCATAGAAGATCTCACACTGCTACAATATGATGACTGCAACTTGAGGGGGTGGCCGCTGCAAGCCACTGGCATATGGGTTTTATGTATTAGGGTCTGTAAAGGAGATACCACTTGCAAGGATTTACAGTGTGCCAGGACTGTGTGCCAGATGGTAAAAGCCATATGAGTTGCAGAGTTCTTGAAATAAGTTTTTTTTAGTTTGTTTTTGTTTATCACAGAGAATATGCTTCTGGGTTCATAAAGTTTCAGCATGTTCTGCCTACTGCGTCATGGAGAAAAATATTAACTCCATCCTGAATCCAGGCCACCAAGAGAATAAAAATAGTATTTAAAAAAGGAGGTAGGCAGGCCATTTCCTGGGACAGAAAAAATAGTTAGTTTAAAATACGTTCTTGCTATTTTAATACAAAAATGAATAGATTGTTACTGCTGTTTTTCTCTGAAACGATTTATTCAGAAGATTAAGCAGAGTTCTTTGAAACAAGTACATTTAAACACTCTGCTTACCCTGTTCACCAGGAAATGCAAAGTTTTTCTTGTTATGAAGAATTAGTCACATTTGAGTTTGAGCATATGTTCACTCATGAGTATCATGGAGGGGCTTCCCCTACCTCACAGACAAACAGTTGGTATAATATGGCAAGCCCCTAATTTGCAGTCACAGGCCAGGGAAGCACATGGGACATTGGTCTAGCAAGAAGTCCAGGAACATCCACACGGGAATAAGGGCACAGTGTGTGTGGGCTGGAGGGGTGGTCGCCAACCCCCAAAAGATGTACTGAGATAAAGAGGACACAGCCATCAAAGTATTTAACTGCACTGTCCACCTGTGAAGCCAACTACTGTGCCTGTGAAAATGCATCTAAACCCACCACTGCTTCACAAGGAAGAAGACATGCGACCGTCGGGAAAACCTTGGAGACGCCGGGCTGAGGGGACCCTGAGGGCCGAGAGGATTCCGCGGGCGCAGCCCTCAGGCGGCAGGCAGGCGCTGGGCAGGCCCGAATGCAAAATGGGGGCTCCTGCTCCTGGCCTTCCGCGGCTTCGGCTTCGGGTTCAGATTGGGGTTCTGGTTGGGGTTTGGGTTCGGGTTGGGGCCCGGGCCGGTGCCGCCAGGTGGCGGAGCGGGCCCGGCGGGCGGCGCTGGGCGGGGCAGCGCTGCCGCCGCCGCCGCGTGTTCCTGTTATTGTCCCTAAATAGCTGACCTTGGGAGGGAGAGACGCGGCCCCGGCCGAGCTCCGCGCTGCCGCCTTATCTGCCGTTTGTTTAGCTGGGTTGGGAAGCCGAGCCCCGCCTGCCCGGCCCGCCAGCAACTTCGGGGTTTTTCCACCAGCCCCGCTGGATTTTACTAGGCTCCTCGTAGCAAAGTGTCCCGAAGCACGGGGTAATGCCCTGGTTTTAAAATTGGTGTCCCCCGGGGTGTGTTAAGGGAGCGCGGTGCCGCGAACGCGATCAGAGCTGCGCCCAGAATGCCGCAAGTTTGTGTGAAAATGAAGTAATCGTAGGTTCAGTATAAATTCCTGTGTTAAACCCCCCACTTCATGCTTTGATTCTGAGTCACTTCAGCCAGACTACAGCTACCATTGACATACAGGCTATGGATGTGATCCAGGAAAACAAGATATTTTGGGACCGGTGAAGGGCATCTCAAGTTTGTATTGCTTACTGGTAAAATTATTCATTTTTGTTGAAACCTCCAATTCCTAGCTGAACCATGCTGTGATAAATAAAGGTAAAACATGGTTTGCTTGACTATTGATAGTAAGCTGCATGCTGCTTTTTGTGAGTGAGAGATCACTGCTGCTTGTGGAGGCGTCCCAGTCTAATCCCTTCCGTAGACAAAATTGACAGCACGGCCACATGGTGTACATGGCAGATGAAACTGCATGAATGCTTTATATTTATCTTATTAAATTCAAAGTGCAAATTGCTAATGGGAATTCTGTTGTAACCACCAAAAATAACCATCCCTTGTGCCTCGTGCCTCCATGTTTCCTGATACATCTTGGTTTTCTTTTCCTTTTTGTCTGCTGCAAAATATTTTAGTCAGTCTCTCAGCCATTTCAGGGATTTTTTTTTTTTTTTTTGGCTAATTGAGCTTGTTTTCAGCCACCTAGGCCTAAGAGACTTCAATGGACATGGGCATTTATGTTCAGAATGAACTGAACACCCTCATTTTACTCTTAGTTATTTGGAACCTGTTTGCTAACTTAAATGTGCTATTGTACATACTGAAGTGACTGCTTTTTTCCTTTTTATCTTCTTTTTCTCTGTAGTAGTTCAAAACATATACAGCATAGGCCAAAGTATAAAGTGTTGAGAAGCTCCCAGTCAGACCTAAACTTGTGGCTGCTGATCCAAAAGTGTTAAGCCAATTTTTGATACATCTCATATATGAAAATGATTCATCACACAGAAGCCCTTTACAGCGAAACAGGGAGATGCAACCTATATTTCCAGAAGGGAACAGATCCATGAACAGAGACAGCAAGTTTGTAGAGAATAATTCTTATCAAACAGATCAAGTTAGGCTTTTTTAAAAATATTTTAAAAATTTTTTTTGGTAGAAAAATACTTCAGAGATGTTTTTCAGAAGTTTGTGCAGCTGTTCGTTTAGTTGGGTAGAAGGAGGTTTTGGCTTTCAGTGTAAAGTAAATATTTTCAGGGATCAAAGAGGTGGAAAATTGGGGTGAGGTGAGTGTGCATGTTGAGGGTAGCTACTCAGCTCTGAGTGGGCTATTACACAAACAGGTATTATGTCTGTGTTTTTGTTTACCACACATCTAACACCCTGCCAATGAACAAAAATGTATATCGACTTGTGTTTTGGATAATTTGAATAAAACAAATCCAGAAAGGAGACCTGAGAAGTTCTTGTTTTTATGGTCTCTTTTCTCCCTCATGACTCCAAGAGGTATAGTCTGGCCTTATGTCTTGCTACACCTTTCTCTACTGACAGACATGCTTTGAGTTTCATTTGGAGGGATTTGGGTTAACCACTAGCTAGAGGTCAAAAAATTCTCCATTCATGTGGAGACGAGCCCTCAGTCTCAGTGTTCTCCTTAATCCAGCTACTGCACCTTGAGGTTTGTCTTAAAAGCAGGTAGAAGGAGCTAATTGGGTATTTTAGTTGTCTTCAGTTTTGAGAAGAGAATTATGGGATCTAGGGACAAATATTCATAAAACAGACACCTCAAAAGCAACAGCTAGAAGCAGGGGCCTAAGCCTGAAGGTATCTCACCTTCAAGGAATCTCACCTTCAGGCAAGGAATGGAGGCCCCATGGAGGCCTCTCACAGCTCTTTCCCAAGAGTCTGACCAAAGAGACACCACTGCACCAAAATGGAGCTGTCTTTAGGTACAGGGAGCCAGACTCCAGAGATGGAGCAGGAGACAGGTTGCAGAACCCATGAGAGCATTCAGGGCCCTGTCAGATGTCAGCTATCATAAACACAAGAATCAAAATAACTGCTCTGAGATTATTACATGGTTCCTCAACATTTTCTTTCCACACAGCAAAGAGGAGGAGATGTAACTTGTCCTTGTCACAGAAGAGGAATAAAGCACAGCACTCTCATCAGGCCTGCAAAGGCTGCACAGAACTCTTTCAGCCTGAAGTCTGATGGTTCAGTAACAATCAGGTTCAAAGGACCACCTCAGCTTCCTGCCTGAACTAAGTACTTCTCTGGCTCCCCATGCTTTTTTGTCCTCACTTTCACAGGTCCTTGAGAGTTCCCTGCAGCAGCCACCTTCTCTCCCCACAGAGTTTGCATTTGTCAGTCTCTGGTACAGAAGTCACCGACTTCTGCTGCTCTGTTCTGCTCTGTGTTTATGGAGATCCTCCCTTGAAATTATTTGGAGAGCTATTCATGCTCCACTCCTTCAGATCATCTGACTTAAGATTCCTCCTAAGGAGGATGCATTTAGAAAATCAGCCAATTGCACTAATGGTTGCTAGCCTGAGGGGAAGGTAGGAAGAGGGTAGGGGGTTTTAGGTATTGTAATATTTAAATAATAATTATCTATTAACATGTTTCTAAAATGGTTTAAAGTTTAGATGCATGTTTTTCACCAATCACTTGGTTTCATAATTTTTGTTAGTTTTTTTTAAATACAATCTGCAGTTGATTTGGTCTTTAAATAATTTTCCTTCACTACCTAAATGAGGTGATTAAGAACATCTTAATTATGTCTCTGATTCATAAAAACAGACAGATTAATTATGTCCTAAAGAGCAATGCAAACCTGGAACCAAAATTACTAGTGCTACTTGTAGTGTAATTTTGGCCTATATTAATTTGCTCCCTTTTTCTTAATTGTATAAGATTACTGCTTTGTCTGCTGGGGATTTGAGCAGTTAGAATACTTTGACCCGTTAGTCAAAAGGGACAGTCTTTTAACTCTTTAATGGAAAATTTATTTTTCTTGTTTGTCTTAATTTAAACCCCATCTCTGATTTGTCATGAGCAAGGAAAAAGGTCATCAAGAAGGATGGCAATAGCTAGTAGGTTCTATCCAGTGTTAACATGCCCAACCTGCTAGCAGTGTAATATTTCTTTTAACAAATATGCCAGAGTTCTTATGTCCAGAACTGGAAGAGTTCAAGTACTCCTAAAGTATGGAGGAGAGGGCACTGAAAGAGTGCCATGGTTTAGTATGCAGAATTACTTTGAATAAGTAGGCTTTTGAAAGAGCAGCCTCAGAAAATACTCTGCTTCCTGAGAATGCAGCTTGTAACTTTAATAACTGCTTTGGATTAATCCTTTACTTTGTCACAGGACACATAAATGAGATAGAAATTGTCTAGATTTCACAGAGATTAATTAAAAATCAGTTATATAGGTAGCTATAGCTGGTGCTCGTCCCAGCACACAGCTTTGTGTTGACTGGCCAGAATATAAAAAAATCTCATGGACTTTATTGATTGTTTCTGGATTATCTGAAGTAATTGTTTGATAACAGTCCACAACTGTTTTGAAACAATTTCAGACACATTCACTAAAGCGTGTTAGAACTGCTGCTTATCTCCCAGGATCAAATGGATAAACAAAGCTTTTGTACATACATTTGAAAAAGTTCTGGGGAAAATTAAGCAGAATTTTATTTGCAAATACAAACTCTGTATCAAAGTCCATCATACCGGCAACTTTAATCAAAGGCTTTTTAGACTTTATTATTTGTTGCAGATAGCATGTATTCTCCACAGGAACTGCATAAGTGTGGTGGAGGAAATAGAATCTATAATGTATGCCTCCCAGACATCCTACATCCATCAGTAGGATGTGCATAAAATTACAAAGGATGTAACAATTAGGACAAAGGTCTTGTCAAGAAGGTATATTACTGGGTGCATGGCATGGCTGTTTTTGGAAAAAGGGGCATAATGAAGAAATATATTGACCAGCTGTTACAAGACAAAAAGGGTTAGGAAGAGAAAAGTGTGCTGAAATTAAAGCTGATGTCCATGCAGTTACTGGGGAGGAAAATGATTATGCTTTTTATTGGCCTGAAGGGGTTGCAAAATGAAAATGTTACAGTAGGATGTGAGTCTTTTAATACAGATGAAGGGCTGAGAATGAACAAATGCCAATTCCCTACCTAACAAGCTACCTTTAGCTGTAGGGCATATACAGGACAAAACTTAGCTTTAAACATGTCATGGGAACCAAGTTAGGTATGTGTTACATGTGGCTCCGTTATTAGTGAATCCATTACAATGAACAGTAATTAATAAATATATATACTGTATATGTATGTATATATAAAAATCCATCCTGATTTATAAGACTTTGAGTTATGTGTTTAAAGAAGGCCTCTATTTAAGTCCCATTGAATTTAGAGCTGTGCTTGACTCCTTTCTTGATCTGGGACCTTAGGCATATACTTTCCTTTTCTGGGCATCATGACATCTTGAAACTCACATTTTGCAAGGCAGAGTCAATATGATATACTGCAGAAAAGTATTTTCTCATGAAGGCTTTGTTATTGTTCCCATTTTCTTTCATCTCAAATAAAAATAACTCATGCTGAAAATGCAGTCTGTGTATACTGGCAATTAAAAACAAATCAGGAAATCTCTCTGCTATATTAAATCACACATGCCTAGTTATGATTTAACATGCTGGGGAATGAAACCAAATTCCACCCTGAAGTATCAAGCACTACTTTTGTAAACACTGGGTTTCTCATTCAGGATAACTTTTTCCCCCATCCTTATAGCATTAATGTATGCATCCCAAAATTCCTGTGGAGAATGAAATTATTGGGTTGCCTACCAGTAAATACATGTGGTTCCTGTTTTAAGCAATGTTCAAGGTAAGTGAAAATGAGAAATCTTGGAGAGCAGCCAGATTTGCTTTTTCAAATGCAAGCAAGCAAGCAAGCTACCTTGCAACTGGCTGTGCTTCTTCAGTGAAAACACAGCAAGAGGAGACATTAAAAATAGAGAGGAAGCAAGAGAGAGAAAGAGCATGTGGGAAGCTAACACAGCACACTAGGTACAAGTTCTACCTTTGTTTTCACTGAAGCAACCCTACTGAAATAACTACTGCAGGAGATAAAACTTGACTTATCAAAATATTCAGTGAACAAAAAATAACTGATGTCACAGTACCTCAATGTGGAGGAGATGCGCCAAGGCTTCTGATGTAGGACATTCAGCCAAGCTTCTTGGTTAGTCTCATCAAAACAAATTAATTTTCTTGTTTTTCACAGACCTGTTTCAGCTGCTGTC